TTCTTGGCTTCCAGGACAGCCTGATAGAAGGTGTGTCACCTCTGTGAGCAAAGACAGTTGAATGATACTCTCATATCTCACAGACCCTCTCACCCCCTCACCCCCATCCTAATTCACATAATGAAATCAAAATTGTACATTTCAGGGGACCAGCACTGTTACCTCAGATGGACGGGAATGGTCCACCTCTGCCCACAAAACTGACCTGGAGCTTTGTGTCATGATTTACAAAAGGAAGAGATGAGAGGTTGGAGAGATAGCTCAGTCAGTAAAGTACTTGCCTTGCAAGCATGAGGACTCGAGTGTGATGCTCAAAGCCCAGCTAAAGAAGCTGGGGGTGGTGGCAGTGCTCGTAATCCCAGCATGGGAGGTGGAGGCAAGCGTTGATCCTACTTGGCAAGCTCCAGGCCACTAAGAGACCGTATCTCTTATGCACCTGAGAAACAGCACCCATATGCATGTGTACGTACACACACACACACATACACACACCAGATAACCATGAAACCAGGCTCCTTTTCCTCATCTGATCCCCTTTAACCCTTTTTTTTTGCCAAGGTAGGCACCAGAAGACAGAGGGGACAGACTTCTCCGAGGCTCTGTGGAAGAGTGGGGTCAATGCCCTGTCCTCCGCCCTCCTCCACTCCTTTGCCCATCCCACCCTCTCCACCCGCTGTCTCCTGGGCCTGCAGACTGCGTGCAAGCACAGCACCCCAGCACGTGGCTCTACCACCCAGCTCTACCCCGTGCCACCGCTTGCTCAGGGTGTTTGACGCACACCTACAGTTCAATGTTCCAAACCTTTTGGAATAGATGAATTTAGATCTTTTGGGGCTGGCAGCCCTGGGTAGTTTGGCAGAGCAAATACCATAACTGGTTTCTTACGTAACCCCACAGTTGGCAGCGAGGCACAGTGCATCGAAATTAAGCAACACTCCCTCATCCGAGAAGACGTGGTTCGCCTTTTCTTGTGGAGGGATAAAGGCGCTGTTTGTTCCCGCTGCACAGATTCTTCATAATTATTGTCTGATTTTAATAATGCTTTGAAGTGAGGTTTTTCACTGTAGCCGTGGGAGAGTTCTGCTGAGCTCTGGGAGCTTAAGGGCTGGCTCTGTGCGCCTCACCTAAAGAAAGCCTAGATCCTTTGAAAGCCTTCAGGTGATTGGGGAGAGTGGGAAGGACTGCAGACCCAGCCTGCAGAGAAATCTGGGTGGTACTTAGGAGTTGAGACCCTCTGGGTACATTGGAGTTGGCAGGACCAGCAACCTTGTTGGGTTTAGCCTGAATTCTTTCCATTTCTTCCTTTTCTGATTAAAAAAAAAAAAAAGCCTGTGAGTCATGAAGCCAGACTTCTCCCTCAATGTCAGAGGTCAGATTCTCTGCAGTGTGTTTTGTCTTTGTTTGTGTGCCTTGGGGATCAGACCCAGGGCAGACACTGTACCACTGACCGACATCCCCAGCCGGCTGACAAATTGCACCCCTGCTTGAATTCAGTGAGCCTTTAGGAACCGGTCCAAGTATTACCTATACCTGGCCCTCCAGCTGCAGTAATAAAGTTTTCAAATGAAAAGCCTGGGATTGCTGTAGGCATCCTTCCCACCACCCTACTGTGGAGCACAAGTGGGAATTAGGGCACTTATCCAATAAGTTCAATTGAGGAGAAAAGAAAAACCATTACATTTCAAAATGAACCCTACTTTTTTCCTTTAAAAACGGAGTTCACTGACCAAGACAGATTTCCAAATGTCTTCTCTAATGCCCAGGATGAAACATCCGTTGAGGTTTTCAGGAAAGAACAGAGCTAAGCAACTCCCAAGACTTGCGTTTCCAGGTCTCTCAAAGCCTTGAGACTTCCCTGGAGGCTAATTGCTGTTTACTGCTGTAGCCTTTCGTCCCCTCTTCTGTAACATTTTCCATCTTAAGCGGGCCGACCCATTCAGCCCAGAAGCATGTTGTCTGAGTGGCTGAATGGAATTACTACCAGTGGAAACTATGCCGCAAGAGGGGCGGGTTAAGGCAGCTGCACTGCGAACCTAGCTGCCTTTTCCACCCGAGCAGAGGCAATTAGCATAGAGAAAATGACTAAGGTGTTGACGTCACCTCTTTCCAGTAGAAACTTACACTTTGTCCCTGTCCGCCTGCAAGCACGCAAGCCTTGACTCAGGAATTTGCTGTCCAAACAGGATGCTCTGGAAGCCTTGCCTTTTTTTCCCCAGGGGGCCGGCCCTCCGAGCTTTATAAGCCCGGGCTGGACGAAAGACCTGTGGTCTCTCTCCTGCGCAGAAACTCCCTGGCTTGGAGCTTGACCGCCTGGGTTGCTAGCGCCCGCCCTGTGAGAAAGCAGAATGCATTTTAGGAACTTTAACTACAATTTTAGCTCCCTGATTGCCTGTGTGGCAAATGGTGATATCTTCAACGAAAGTGAAACCAGGGTAAGGCTTTTAACAAACGATGATTTCTGAGGAATGTTTCAAAGCCTGGCACTAATTGGAATGCTCAGGGGTAGGTGACTCTCTTGTGGGGTTTTCAAGGAAACCCAAAGTTATTGAGAGCCTTGAAAATCAGAAGCTGTTGACTAAAGAGTTAGCTGAGAAGGGGTTTTGGAACCCCTGGCTCAGTCTTTGAAAGCTTCCAGGTTCCTGTGGCCCACCGACTGTGGGCACTGTGTGTCTGCCTTCTGTGCTGTCTGGAGGGAGCTGCTGCTCGTTTTTCAGCTGGAATCATTTGACTTCCTCTGGGGAAATAAATGCCATAAATGCATTGTGTGTTTGTGGTCATGGCAGGGGTTTGCTCTAGCTTCCAGAGTCTTCTGGCTAGAAGAAAAAGCAAGTATAGCAGATAGTTAAGACTGGGTAGCTCCGTGTGGGGTAAGTGTGTTTCTTGGATAGCAGTCTCATGGAGGTAATTAATTAGCTATTTTAATCACTGCTTTTCTTTCATTTGGTAAAATTTTTAGTAAGGGCTTTCATCAGTGACCAGTCATCGAGTTGATCTTTGAGGAATAATCGTATGAACAAGTATTGAGTATGTTCTCTTGAGGGGGGGGGTGCTTGTGTTTCATGCTTTGTATTTAAGCTATATTGGGACATGCAGAGGCTTTTTTAAAATTAGATTTCACTAATTGTGTATAACACTTTTGAGAGGCTGGGACGGTAGTTTTTGAATGCATTCTATTCCTAAACATACTACAGAGTCAGTAAACTTAATATTAACCTAAGTAAAATCATTCATTTATTTCTTAATTAAGTAGAGATGCTATGAAACAATTATAATAACTAGATATCTCTTATTAGAACAAATAATGCCACTTCATAAGCACATGCTATTGTAGTAATCTGGATTTAGCAATAATGTGCGTTCCCTGGTGCTCTCTCTGCTCCTGAGCCCTGCCTGACTTGTATTCTAAAAATATTCACCAAAGTCATCTCTCCCAAATTCTGAATCAGAACTTCAGAACTCCACAGTAACAGCCTACTGATGAGGTCATGTGAAAATCCAGCTTTACCAAGACATCCTTATCTCAGAAACTGGCCCATGCCTCAGAGAGATAGGGGGAAATAGTACCTGGACTGGTCAAATCTGAGGTCAGACATCAGTTCTGCCATCCTCCATTTGTGCCTCTCTGCAGAGCTCGTGGGAAAGTCACAAGAATGCTCATAAACTGAAGAAAAGGCAGGGAATGTACAGAGAGCAAGGCAGGGAGACATTCCTGCTCTCCAGCCACCTGCCTCATAGAGAAGATGCTGGATCCTTTCCACACCCCACCTGGAGGAGGCACAGAGCTACTAAGCTTTCCCAGCCTTCCAGCAGTAAATATTCCCAAGATGGCTCTTTCCCAGAATTCTCTGCTCCCCATTATATTTCCTTAGCATCTCCAGGATACTAACAGTGCCAACAGTGAACAGTGCTTCCTCTCTGCCTCAGCTGCCCTCCTGTGCAGAGAGGGGGGAACACCGCCCAGGACCCAGGCTCTCTGCCAGCCTTCTCACCACCCCTACCTTCCTGAGCCCCCACAGCCCGTCCTGAGTGTTTAGCCTGGAGTTGTGAAGTGTGAAACCTCCTTCAAAAATCTCCTGATATTTGAAAGCCCCTGAGACCTTCCTGAAGTCCTGAGGAGGTGCAGGGGCCTCCCTTCCCACAAAGCCCCAGCAGGGAGGGGGGAGGGTGGGGCTCCTGGGTCTTTCCCAGCAGGCTGATGAGCTTTTGCCCGAAGCCAAGTTTGTAATCCCAGAATTTGGGCTTTTCATCCTCAGTGCTTGAGGTGGTGTTTCATGATTCCCATAGGCTCCTAAAACACCAGAGCAAGGCACCTGCAGAAGTGGGTCATTTACACCACATTACATTTTAAACCAGCATTCCTTTAGAGAGTTAAAAAGTAACAGATGGAGATAAAAACTGTACTAGAGTGGGAATTTCATAAAACTACTTCCTTTAAGAAACAAGACTTTCTTTTAGTTCATTGTTCGTCCATTTGAAAAGAGGTTCTTTTTTTTTTTTTTTTTCTAATTTGCTTCAAGGCTTTGGGCCCTTAAAAAAATATTTGAGGAACACGATGTCCACCCTGTGCTAAGCAGCAGAATGGAGTTGGCCAGACTACAGAAGGTCATAGGAGTAGCAGGCCCAGGGTGATGAGTGACCTGCTTGTGCCTCTTTGGAAAACGTGTATCCCCTTGAGAAAGAATTGATCACTGCTCTGCTGATTGAGCGAATTCAGTATAATAAGCCATGTCTTATCTTCGTAGACGATTGCCCAACTTAGGCCTGAAAGGGGCAGTGTCTTAGGCCAGGGTGTCAGTGGTAGAGCACGTGCTTAGCATCTGCAAGGTCCCAGGTTCAGCACCAAGATAAACTACAGTAGCACGCTCTCCTTTGAAGGACAAGCTTTTGTAACAAGGAAGGTCCCCATGATCCTTCTCACTTCCTCTGCAAGCAGGTGACAAGATTCTCTAGTTGAGGGTCACAGGTGGGTGAATTTTAACCCCTTTTTTGTTATTTTTCAGACCAAGTTTGAAACCCTCTTCAGGACGTACGACAAGGACATCACCTTTCAGTATTTTAAGAGCTTCAAACGTGTTCAGATCAACTTCAGCAACCCCTTATCTGCAGCAGACGCCAGACTGCAGCTGCATAAGACTGAGTTTCTGGGCAAGGAAATGAAGTTATATTTTGCTCAGGTGAGTTCATTCATTGCGATGCACGTTCCTCCCTTCTCCATTTTAAAGCAGATTATGTGCTGATTACACTATGCACTGGAAACCCCAAGAGTTCATCTCAAGAAAGGCAAAATGCATACTCTGCATCCAGCGGGTCCCACCTGTTTTCAGAGGGCATCAGGTGATTGTGAAGACAACTTCAGAGACAGCCCTTGACCCTCTTGGCTGAGTAATGGTGAGGGAAAGCTTGGACTCCCTGTGCCCTCAGGGTCTTCATCTAGTTTCTCAAGAATTAGGCTGATGACTATTCCGGAGTGGTCCCCCACCCATGCAGGCGTTCCTGGGCTCTCCACAGCACCCTTACTTTATGAAGATGCAAAACCCGGTAAAAACCTGCAGATGATCATCACAGGACTGTCAGGCCCAAGAGCAGAAAGACCCAGACACTGAGATGGTTGTCAGATGCTTGAGACCCTCTGCTTAGTTGAGGTGCAGCTCCAGAATACACCAGATGCAGAAAGTGCTTTGATCTTTGTCCTGTCAACCCCTAGTCACAGGTGGCCGACCTTCAAGGCCGCTCCCAAATTCCAGTTGACATTGTAATGGGGACTGGCAGATTGCCAGGGAAAGAGAAGCAAGCTTCTAGAATGCCACTGCCCAGATAAAGTTAGCCCTTATCCAGCTCTGAGCCTCCTCCCACACCCCGCAAGATAGGGTGGGATCCTGTCTAGAAGCTTCCTGATCATGGGAAGAAGCTCTTCTGACTCTATCAGAGAGATGGGTCGCCTTTTCCTCCTCAAGTGAGCTCCCTGGGCTTTTCAGGCACAATTTAAGCATGTGAATGCGAGCAGACACCCTCCACCCCTGTGCTTCTGGGAGCAGCAGCCAAGGCTTTGATCTCAGCCTCTGGGCTTCCTCTCTGAGTGAACTCCTAGGTCAGGTTTTGTGGTGGTAATGACTTGGGATCTCCATGACCTTTTCTGATTCTAAAAATAGTGCCTGTTCATTGAAAGTTTGGAAAAGAAATATTAAAGCACACAGACCGAAACTAATAAGTTAGCATCTGAGGTAAGGGCTTTCTGGACAGCCCCCAAGTCACTAAGACAGTGTTTAAGATCAAACCAGGATCACAGGTTATGTTATTTCTTCTTACTATTTTTTAAATCTCTGGGGAAGTGGAGATTCGGATCCTTACTTGGCCTTGGCGGGAGCTCCAGAAGCAGGGAGGGGAGTGTAGGGCTGCCGATAGGTGGGACCTAGCACCCTGCTCCTGCTTCACCACCTGAAACAGCTCATTGCAGAGGTGTTGCTTAGCCCCTGGGCCTTCCCTGTCCTTGTGGCATGAGGGGGCTACAAGAAATTGATTCTGAGACCCTTTCAGACCTCAACAACTGGCTTCATTTTTCCCATTTATTTTAAAGTCATCTCTTTTCATTCACTGCCAGTCTGAGGCAAGCACAGTCTCTGGGTAGTGTGACCCACAGCCCTGGTGGGGATTTCTCCCCACATGGACACTGTTGTGTTTGAATGTCAAAGGCCCCTTATGGGAGGGTGTTTGAGCACTTGGTCCCCAGCTGGTGGCACTGTTTGGGAAGGTTGTGGAACTGTTAGGAGGTGGAGCCCAGCTGAAGGAAATGGATCACTAAGGGGTGTATTGAGGGCTATAGCCCAGCCCCACTTCTGGTCAAAGCACCATGTGACAGGTAGCCACATGACCCTGTAGTGGCAGTGAACGCTGCCAAGCCTTCCCCACCATGACAGACTATGCTCTCTCACACTGTGTTCCACAGTAAGTCCTTCCTCCCATAAGTGGTTTCTGTCAGGTGTTTTAGTTCTGTCACAGCAACTAGAAAACTTTAACACAAGCACCAAAACCAGTTTCAGTCCTCCCCTCACTGTCTTATGGACTGCTCTACGATCCTTCTGGGAATCACACCTCGGCATAGGTCTGTCCTCAGACATTTACCTTCCAGAAGTTCCATGACCTGCTGTGACCTTGACACAGTTGCCTCACAGCACAGTGATGAGTTGATTTCTCTCCTTAGACTTTGCACATAGGAAGCTCACACCTGGCGCCACCCAATCCAGACAAGCAGTTCCTCATCTCTCCCCCCGCCTCTCCACCAGTTGGTTGGAAACAAGTGGAAGATGCTACTCCAGTCATAAATTATGATCTTTTATATGCTATCTCCAAGCTGGGGCCAGGTAAGCAGTGCCCTCAAGTGGGCAAGGGGCTGGGAGGCATGGGGAAATTGTCCGAGGACAGGATGCTCCCCTATCTGGGGTCTGAGGGATCTCTGTGGCACTCTTACATCTCACATGACCCCATGCAATGTGTCTTGTGAACTCTGCATTCTTCCACATCACCACCACAGGGACTAGGAATACATATTCCTCTTTGAAGGACTGCAGAAAAACAGGTAGCAGCTTGTGGATTTTGTACAGAGGCCCCTCCCATAGATGTCCCCTGAATCCATCCCGTCACCTACCAGGCACACGTGCATGGCTCACTCCCAAGCTCCAGGTCCTGCTGCTCCAGGTGGGATGAGCAGCTGGACTTTGAAAAAGGAAAACACACCTTCCTTTAGAAATGTCATGGTCTGGCTCTTACCTGGACTTTTTAATGGGCGAGAGAGAACCACAGGTCATGGTGAGAGAGAACCACAGGTCATGGTGAAGGTAGAGCCTCAAGTAGAACGTACCCCGTTTAACTGTGGGCAGGAGATAAATCATCACCTAGTAAAAAGCACTTCCTACAGTGCTAGGTATGTAGTTTTGGGAAACAGTAAAATGTTGGTGGCTCATATCCTGTCTACTAGGGTTTGGAAGAGGGGCAGGCAGAGGAAGGTCTGGGGTGTAGAGGTGTGGGCAGCCCTCCTGCCCTGTTAAGTAACAAGCTGAATAAACACTGAGATTTCTCCTTGACCAGCAAACTGATGATCCTTTGGGCAAGAGCTTTATTTTCAGGGGCCATCAGCAGTTTCACATTGAAAGGATTACATTTCTGAAAACACAGCCCTAACGGAAATGCCTCCCATGGTACAAAGCGAGAATTGCGTTACTTAGTGTTAATGGTGGTATGAAGGTCAAGATGGAAAATGGCCTGTGTGAGGAAGAGGGCAGCCCCCCCAGCAGCTCCTGGTGGGCACCATCAGCAAGACTGAGGGTTTGGAGTCTTCTGGTGTACGAGACATAAAGGCAGATGGTATCTGAGTCTGCTACAAGGAGCCAAACTGTTCCAGAGGCAAGAAGAGCGAGTGTTCCACCTCTGAGGACCTTGGCAGGGAGCAAGGGCTGATGCAGCGCTTTAGGAAGTCTGCGCTGGATACAGATGGAGCCATGTGTCAGAGTGGGCACCCAGGGCCAGGGATGAATTCACACCCCAGAGTCAGTCACACCTTTACTCAGCGCTATAGAGAAAGCTTTTACAACAGTGATGCAGTCAAATCAATTTGCTCTTCATTTATCCATCAGTGAAATTTCTTTTCTTTTCTTTTCTTTTTTAATTTTGGCCTTGCTTTTCAGGACTGCAAAGATTTTATAAATGTAGCCCTGAGTCCTGAGCCTTCTGGATTTGGGCCAGTGGTTGATGCCTAAGTAGAGAAGCCTTCGCTGCCAACTTTCCTGGTCACCTGTGTGACCTCTCCAACCTCAGCACTCTGGGAGAGCTGAGGGCCCTCCACCTTTTCAGATGCAGTTACAGCAACATTCTGGCCTCTGGGTAGGGGTGGGGGTGACATGTCCTCCGTATTGAGAGGAGGGTCCTAGGAGGCTAGAGGCCGAGCCCTGCCTAACTGCCCTTTCTACCTGATCTCAGCCACTTTAATAATGGGGATGGAACTCGAGGCCCACATATGCTGGCAGCAGTCCTCGTCTGAGCTGCATCTCTAGCACCCTCCATTTTTAAACATAAATCTAGGTGACATTTGTCAGGTGTGTGTGTTGTGAGCCAGGGACTGGTACTCTGCAGGCATTCACTCATGCAGTTGACTCCACTGACCTTTTGTTGTCCCCGTCCCACATAAATGAGGCTTGGTGGTACATGCTGTGATCCCAGCACTCAGAAGGTAGAGGCAAGATGACCAGAAGTTCAAGGTCAACTTCAGCTATGTAGTGCGTTTGAGTCTGGTTTGGACTATATAAGACCCTGCCTCAATAAAAGAAGAGAAAAAGATGCCAAGGTTAGACTGCCAGAAAGATCAAAGGAGAGCCAGATTCAAAGCAGCTACCCTTGTGGGTCCACACAGGGCCTCCACAGACCTTCTAATCCCTTGGGGCTCAGGAGCCCCAAGTAGGAGCCTTGCAAGGGAGATGAGAGACATTTGCTTCCAAAAGTGTTTTGTCTATTTTTTCCCCAAACTGATGTTCCACGTACCACCCTTGGGGAAGTGCTGTTGGGAGTCCCCTGGATGGTCGGTGAGGACAGGGGGAAGGTTAGCTAAAAATACACATTCCTGCTGCATGCCCTCTTCCTGCCCTGAGCACCACACTGAGAGCAGTTCTGTAGTGGAAATGTACCTCTTTCTGATGAGCCATCTGTAAGGGAGGCACACGTGCAAACTGGCCATGTCGCGGTCCCTCAGAAGGTAGGCAGGAAATGGCCAAACCAACCCTGATGTCACGCCACATATGCCTGCCTACGGTTCCCAGGACTGCCCCGGTTAACATGCAATCATTGTCTTCCCCTAGGAGAAAAGTACGAGTTGCATGCAGCTACTGACACCACTCCCAGTGTGGTGGTCCATGTGTGTGAGAGTGATCAAGAGGAGGAGGAGGAGGAGGAAATGGAAAGAATGAAGAGACCCAAGCCAAAAATTATCCAGACGAGGAGGCCAGAGTACACACCCATCCACCTCAGCTGAACTGGCTCATGGACTGAGAAGTATTCCGAATCCTACTCACGGGAGGAATCTTTTACTGTGCAGGTGGCCAGTCATAGCTTTGGAGGTGGCAGCTATGACCGCTGTGGCAGAAATTCCAGTTCATGTTGCTAAGAAGAGAATCAAGGCTTGTCTCCTTGTCTAATGCTGCACCTCAGCCCATGTCTGGCACCTGGGAATGTCTTGGGCCATTCACTGAGTCTGTGGTAATCACACAAGGACATTTGGGGACATCTTGAGAAAACCAATAAAGATAGTGTCTTGTCCTTGTTCTTTTCTGCTAGGTTCTGTTTTTGCCAAGGACAGATTGATCAGTGGGCCTGGGGACACCACCTTTCTGTTTCCAACCAGTGTACAGGGTACAGCTCCCACTGGTGTCCAGTTCTACAAACCGCTAGTGTCCAGTTCAGAAAGGTCGTGGAAACAACCACAGGCCGTGTGGAAACTGTGTTTCGTTTCTTCCCTCATGTTCTAATGTCCGTGCATGTATATCCCTGATTTTCAAGACTAACCTTTGTTTGTGTATGAAGTTATACCATTGTTGCTGAACATCTTTTGGGAAGCTAGGAACGCATTGATAAACTGTACCTCCTTTCCAGATCCCCAACTCTCTTTGCAACAGCACCCACACGTGGAGCTGCACCTGGATAATTCACGAGGCACCCTGTCCGGTGAACCATGTAACTTGTGCTTTTTTTGCAAGAGAAGTTGATCTCAAATTCCTATGTAGAGTTTAGCTTCTGTGACTGAGAGACTAGCGATTGAACTGCCAGCTCTTAGTAGGTGGGAAATTTTAGTGTAGGTGTTCAGGTTCAGACATCGATTTCCATTGTTTCGTTCATGTGATGGTTGGTACATGGATCACAGCCAAAACCCTTTATGGGAACTGTTGGTTGAGTCAGTTGGTTTTTTTCACCCCACTGAAACATCAAGATAAACTTTGTAAATAAAACTGACAGTATATATCCATACTTGTTGTACACCTGGGTGAAAAAATAGGGCAGAGGGAAGACTAGTGTAAGACATATTAACCTACCTGTGACTTGTAAGTTGTAGAAAGTGCTGTTCACATGTTTAACAGAATTGAATTCAGAGCATGTAAACTAAGTAGTAGCCGAGTGTTGATATGAGAAGGATGCAGTGCCTTTCCCCATTAATTCCTGATGGAATTGTTAAACTAGGTGAACATTTGGATTTTTTTTCTAGTTGTAATGTGTGTGTCTGGTAAATAGGTATTCTATTTTGGCCTTACAATACCATAACAAAGGTTGTCACTTTAAAATGATCTATTGACAAGTAACAGTGCATGCTTTGGGAATTTGGAAGATGGCTTTCCTGCATTAAATTCTTTGATTGTTCACAATAAGAAATTGAATGTTCTCCAAACCCTGTTTACAGTGCTCAGTAGGTGGAAGCTGGGAAGGGAGAGACCATTGCATAGCTGTTGAAGTGTTTCTTGTTCAATGCTTTTAAACCGGAGAGGCTAACCTCAAAAATATTTTTTTTAACTGCATTCTCTAATAAATCAGCACAAAATGCTCTTTATGGAGAAGTTTGTCATTTTATTTCTAGGGTTAGTCACAGGAAGACGCATTCATTTGTCAACCTGAACTTGGAAATTCCTGCTTCTGCATTATGGTTCACAGACTGCCCAGCATGCCAAAGGACAGAACAGACAAAACCAAAGTCGAAATTCTCAAAATTCCATTGTGCAAGTGGACATCGTAATGATAGCCCTACTCAGGAGCTCTTCTACCGAGCTCTCATTCATTCATTCATTCATTCATTCATATGTGGTGTTACGGATTAAATCTAAGGCCTCATGCATGCCCACTCCTACCACTGAACTATATCCCTGGCCTCCAATAATGCTTTTGATGGTTCATTTGAGAAGTTCTCTACTAAAAAGAATGTCCACAGAAAATAAAAAGTTAAACTATTTTTTAAAAACATTTAGTTTTAAACACACACACACACACACACACACACACACACACACACACATATATATTACATGCTTGGAGGTCAGAGGACAACCTGTGGGAGTCATTTCTCTCCTTCTGCCACATAGGTCCCAGGGATAGAATTCAGGTCATAGGCCTCAGTGGCAAGCATCTTTGTCCCCTGAGCCATCTTAATGATAAGGGCCAGTGTGGTTCAGGAGATCTCTAAGTCTGAGACTCTAGGTCACCTTTTCCAATGGAACTCTCACTTCAAGTGGTTGCAAAGCTCCTGGCCAACCCACAAAAGCTTCAATAACTTGGTGTTTATTTACTGACATCTGGAAAATGACATTAATCTTGATCAAGACTGACAATATTTTTCCATGGAAATTTGCATGCTATTTTTTTTAAAGTCATATATATATTCAAGACTTAAACATGTTGGGAAATCCACATTTTAATCCAGTTGGTCAAAGTTAGTTATTTAACAGATTCACTAACTGGAGATAGGAGGAACATCTTCCAAATAGCAGTATTGGGTGGGGTTTCCCTTTGTTATACTGAGTGACTGTGAGCTCATTGGCTAGCACTGAACAGTATGCTGGCCCCAGGCTACTTTGTAAATAACCTAGAAGAGAGCAGAGTAACTGACTCTTTCAGCGGTCCCTGCATAACTGGTAAGAAAAGTTGGTGGCCCCACTGCCAATGAAGCTGACAGTCCCTAGAATGGAAATCCCAGGACATCAAACACCCGTGTGGAAGGTCTCTCTTGTGTGTTTGTGTGGCTATCTCAGCTAAAATTTTGAAACCAGTAGTACACAAAGTTACGATCAGGCTGCTGGATTCGAAGGACCCCAAATTAAAACAAGCCCAAGACTCACACATTTCTTTGTCTGAGAGGGGCCCATCAAATCAGAATGGCAGAAGCAAAATGTATGAGATCCTAAAGAACATATGCTTTGCCATTGGCTGAATGTAGCTCTTAAATAGGTGTGTGCTGCGCTTTTTGTTGCTGTAACACATACTGGAAACAATTCAGAGGAGATTTATTTTGGCCCATGGTTTCAGGGTTCAGTCCATACATGCAGAATGACTTCTGTTTTAGAGGCTGTGATGAGGCAGACCATCATGGTAGAAGGGCATGGTGAAGCAAAGTTGCTTATCTGATGGCAGCCAGGAAGCAGAGAGACACAAAGTAAGGGCCTAGGGCACAGGTGTAAGTATTACCTTTAGAGGGATACCCCCCCACAATGATCTACTCCCTCCAGCTAGTCTACACCTCCTAAAGTTTTCACCACCTCCCAAAAGAGTGTCACCAGCCAAGGACCTAACTTCAACATAAGCCTGTGGAAAACATTTAATATTCAAACCATAGCAATTTCTTATCTTACTGATCCTGTGGTAACTTGGAACCATCCCAGGAAAGCCCCTTGAAATGAAGGCAAAACCCACATGAAGAGCAGCATACGATGAAGGGAATGTGGTAGCCATACCGCTATTGAGGAGGGTTATACACAGTGATTTACAGTCAGCAAGCACTTAAGAGAATATATTTCCAGAATGTACTGTGAATTAGTGCCCATAGGAGATGTGAGCTTCAGACAGCTTTAATTTTAGATGACGTGTACACAAGTCACTATGAGATAAATAGAATTATCAAATATTAAATTGCAGAGGATTAAATGCACCATGTGGACATGTTATGACCAAAAATGAGTGAGCCTCTAGGGTATGCCCTACCTCACCATGTGGAATGTTCGCCTCCACTTAATACATGTGACATTCATGGGAAGGTCAGCGGTCCAGATGGAAACTGCATAAAAGACTGACCTCAAAATTACTCAGGAAGAAGGTTGACTATAAGAACCAAATACTCTTTCTTCCTCAGCCCTCTGAGCTTCTACGTCTGGACACAGGGAATGTCTTTCAAATATGCCTCTATTGCTAATTCACATTGGGAACTTACTCTGGTTCATCAAAGTCACATGACAGGTAGATCTCCTTCCCCCATGCCTCATTTTCTTCAGGTGTCCTTCCCTGCTGTTCATGAAAGGTCATTTTAATCATGGTCATGTGGGTGAAAGGCAAGGAAATTATCTGCAAGTGACCAAGATGTGATGCCCACACTAGGCACTTTTCTTTTCCTCACAAGCTTCAGACTAGAGCTTTGATAGCTGTTCTTCATAGAAAGGGAGTGCTGAGCAGATGCTGAGCCTCTGGTCCCACAGACCACAGCTTCGCACCATGCTCTCCCTACTGTATGTACCATTCCCCACACACCCTTTATCCAGAACACTACCCCACTGCCCCAGTCCAACCCAGCTACCTCCACCATGATGTGCACCTCCTGAGAGCAGGCCTGTGTCTGTAATCTCTCAGTCACTTTCAGTTATCATGCTGCCTAGCCAACAGTGTTCCACAAATATTGATGAAGTAATTAATTCAGTATTGTCTGGCAAATCTCTATCATTAATGCCTCTTCCTCTGAGAATCAATACTAGGTTACTCTTACTAGGTCTCCCGTTGTGCTCCATTGTTTCCTGTTGTGATACGTGTCATCTTTTCCATATAATTGTTCAATTGTTTGTTTTCCTTGTTAGAGCATAAGTTGAGTGGAAACGGGATTCCTGGTGGCCAGCTTATGACTCACAGTAAACAGTCAACATCCTTGACAGATAGAAATGGACAGAACAATGGATCAGTGAATCAATGGCTAGATAGATCAATTGGGGTTGATGGGTAAGTGGATGAATGGAATGGCAGGTGGGTGGATAGATGAGGTGGTGGATGGATGGATGGATGGATGGATGGATGGATGGATGGATAGATGGATGAATGGAAATGTAGGTGGGTAAATAGATGGGTTGGTGTATGGATGATGGATGAATGGATGATGGATGGAAAGGTAGGTGGATGGTGGGTTGTTGGGGAACCCTGCTGTTAGGGTTGCAGTCTCTCCATGTCCGGATAGCCTGAGCAGCTCGGCGCCTAATGGAGAGACTCCCCTTTTCAGCAGGGGGCCTCCTGCTTTCTTCCTGGCTCACCTTGAAGTGCCACCACAGATGCCTTATCTGAAACATGACCTCTGGCATAGAAACTACCAGGTTTTTTCTATATGATAATCAGGCACTGTCTGACAGTCTGGGAGATAGAAACCCACTGCCACATGTAAATAAAGCATACTATGAGCACCTATCAACTGAGGCTTTTGCTACTGCCTCCACAC